TGATGACACTTTTGTTTTAATCATATGTCAATATACATATATGTGTATGTACCATATCATAATGCACAAAATATATCCTTTTTTTTTTTTTTTTGAGACAGAATCTGCTCTGTCACCCAGGCTCTGTTGCCCAGGGAGAGTGCAGTAATGACTGCACTGTAACCTCAACCTAAAAAATAGCTCATAAAAATCATGGTGAGAAACTTTTGGAAGCTATTAGTTTAGTAATTTTGCAAGCAAAAGACACAGAGATTTATGTGGGGCATTCCCTACTTGCTAACTCTTGTCCTCAGTCTCTTTACGGTATCTCAAGTGGAAGAGAAGGATTATAATGCCCAAGTCAATAGTTAGGACTTAATAAAGCAGACTTCTGTAATCCACAGTGAACATCTCAGTATACTACAAAATCCAATAGCATGATATGAATTAAGGTTTGAATTAAGCTGGAATTAAGGTAATTTTTTCATTCAACAAACATTCAACTAACATTTTTTTATCCTCCTCTGTGTACTAGGAATATATTTTCTACTGTACTAGTATGTTCTCTACTGTACTAGGTACTAAAGAGAGGAGATTCAAAAGACAGATATATTATTGCCCTGTCTTCATAGAGCTCACAAGTCCTTTCACAAATATGAATTGAACACCCTGTATGCACTAGAACCTGTGCAAGGATCCAAGAATATCAGAGTAATGCCAAACAATGTTGGAGTATGAGGATCAAGAAAAAACATATGCCCCATATACATTTTTTTTTTTTTTTTTTTTTTTTTGAGACGGAGTTTCGCCCTTGTCGCTCAGGCTGGAGTGCAGTGGCACAATCTAGGCTCACTGCCACCTCTGCCTCCTGGGTTCAAGTGATTCTCCTGCCTCAGCCTCCCAAGTAGCTGGGATTACAGGTGCCCACCACCACGACCGGCTAATTTTTTTGTATTTTTAGTAGAGACGGGGTTTTGCTATGTTGGGCAGGCTGGTCTCAAACTGCTGACCTCGTGATCCGCCCGGCTTGGCCTCCCAAAGTCCTGGGATTACAGGCACTAGCCACTGTGCCCGGCCTATATATGTTTTAATACAAAGATTTAATTTTATTATTTTATTTTTAGTTTATAAATCATATATATTTATTGGATACAATGTGATGATTTGATCTACATATACATTATCGAAAGATTTAATTAAATCAACATATCCATCACCTCAATAATTTATCATTTTTGGTTGTGAGAATGTTAAAAATCTTTTTTAGTAATTTTGAAACATAAAATACATTTTTATTAACTGTGGTCAACATGCAGTGCAATGGATTATTAAAATCTTTTCTCCAAGAAATAACATTTATTTCTCCAATAAATAAAACTTTGTACCCTTCAATTAATAACATCTTCCTTTTCCCCATCCTTTCCACTTTGCCCTAGCCTTTGGTAACCACCTATCTATTCTCTGTTTTTAGGAGACTGACTTTTTTCAGATTCCACATATAAGTGAGAGCATATAATATTTGTGTTCCTGTGCCTGGCTTATTTCCCTTAGCATAATGTCCTCCAGTTCCATCCATGCTGTCACAAGATTAAAACTTCTTATTTTTAAAGACTGTGTAGTATACCATTGTATATGTATGCTATATTTTTAAAAATCCATTAATTTGTTGATAGATACTTAGATTGCTTCCATAACTTGGCTAGTGTGAAAAATGTTGAAATTAACATGGGAGTGCAGATATCTCTTTGACATAATGATTTCAATTCTTTTGAATACTGATTTCAATTCTTTTGAATATACACCCATAAATGGGATTGTGGATTATATGGTAATTTTATTTTTAGCATTTTTTTTTTAGGAAATTCCCATTTTCCAAAATTTCCATGCTAATTTACATTCTCCCCAGCAATGTACAAGTGTTTCTTTCTCCACTTCCTCACCAACACTTTTTATGATTTGTCTTTTTAATAGCAGCTGTTCTAACAGGTTTGAAGTAATATCTCATTGTGGTTTTCTTGCTTTTCCCTCATGATGAAAGAAATTTAGTATTTTTCATATATTTGTTGGCCATTCATGTGGCATATTAATATGTTTGTAATTTTTTAAGAACATTAAAATAATTGAAGAATATTGAAGTCTAAAAGTAGGTGTACTAAAACTCAATACATTATTTTAAGATTAAATATTTTATTTATACCCAAAATTAACTTATTTTAATTTTAATTTCCTGTTTTGTTGATGAGAAAACTCACCAATATATTCAAAATCGGCTTCTTGCTGATCTCATTTTTATTTGGGGAAATTGCTAGGTTTAACAATTTATCTCGACCAAATGAAATGGTCTTACATAATGGTTAATACAAATCCAGTCTTATTTAAAATATTATGTTCACAATGGAATGTTTGCACTAATTTCTATTTTTAAAAGCACTGTACTAAACTATTATTTATCTTGGTTGTTTATGTGTTTTGCTTCCCCTACTCTTTCACTGAATTTTGCAGCCAGTCAGGTGCTTCACTCAGCTCACCCTAGTCCCAGCACTGAAGAAAACATCAGCAAAATAAGACAGAGCCCTTGTTCTCCAGCTTTTATAATCCAATGGGAGGTCAAAGTAAATAGACACATACGAGCTAACATAAGTGCTCTTCTAAGTACTTTACATAAATTAATTCATTTAATTCTTCCAGCAATTTTATGAGGTATATACTACTTATAATTCCTGTTTTACCAAAAAAAAAAAAAAAAAAAAAAAAAAAAGAAAGAAAAAAATTTAGGGACAGAGTAGTTAAGAAACAAACTCAAAGTCTAAGATACTATGCCTGTAATTGAACCCAGACAGCCTGGCTCCAATTCTGAAAAATCAACCACTGAGTAGTCTCTAGATGAAGAGAGGTGGTTGTAGTTTTTTATTTAACGGATCATCAGCTCAGCTGGAGAAACAAAAAGAGAACATGATATTACATCATATAGGATTTTTAAAACCAACTTAAAAATAATAATTATAATAATTAACACTTTGGGTAATCTGCCCCCAGATAGTTCTCCTGAAAAATGTGATTTTCCTTCCCTGAGCTATATACTTTTCATTCCCAAGGAGGATCATAGTAATTCTCTCTACAAATGCTTAATTAAATTAGAGAATTTCCTTAAGATGAATTTGCACTCACAAATTGACATCTTTTGCACAGTAAGTAGCCACACTGAGACCTACTACACTGAATCTATGTCTCTGAATATTGCCTCTTATCCATTGTTTGAACAAATATTTATTAAGCACCTACTGTGAGTCAATTTTATTTTTAAAGAAAATATAAAATGTATTTAAATCATCAATCCACAAGTCTGTTTTACTCTGAATTCTTTCGGAGACATCCCTGAGGAGGAAGCAGTACTAATGCATAAAGCTATATCCTCAAATATAAAACTATATGTAACACACATCTGTATGATGGTTTATGGGTTACAATGTGTTTTCATGTACATTATTTCATTTGCTATTCATCCTCTATAATGTCTCAGGAGATAAGTAAAATTAAAATAACACTAATTTAAAACACTCTAATTAAAGGAGCCTAAAATGGTAAGCACTAGCAATAGATAAACTCTAATTGTTGCCCCACCGAGGAAGAGGGTTTGAAAAAATAGGTCATACATAATGGTTTTCCCTGTAGGGAAGGAAGATAAAATGCTGAAGCCCTGCCACTAACCGCTAACCACTTGGGTGGTATCAGGTTAAATCATTAAGCTCTGTATTTTAGTTTCCTTACCAATATAGTGAGTTTTCAGTCACATGCCAGTTCATCTCACAGAGTGAGATGAGTCCCTCAAGTACAGAGATTGTTCATCTTTTCATCTCTGCAGTTCCCATGCCCAGTACAGGTCCTGGTATATAGAGGGCACCCAACATGTATGTTGAAAGGATGGATGATGGATGGATGGATGGATCAGTAGATGTGTCAATGGGTGGACGAATAAATGACTAATGAACTGATTTTGTCTGCCCTTTTGGCCCTTTCCTTGAATCTGTAACACTTACCCATCACTTGAAGCCAGTGGTGGGTGCTAGTTCAACTATGGCATTTGCCTAGGGTCTTTGCACTTGCTATGGAAGAGATATGCTCTTGTTTGAATTATTTACCGTCTTCATTCTACTTGCCATTTGGATTCCAGATCAAATGTGTTTTCTTCAGAGTTTTCTTCCCTAATCACCTCTTAATGTTGCCTGCTTAGTCCTGTTTTATCAGTCATCCTGCTTTACTATCTTCAGAGCTCTTAGCACTCTTTGAATGATATTATTAATTTTTGCTAATTTACATATATGTTCCTTGTTTTCCCCATTGAATGCGAGCTTCATTAGGCCAGGGAATTAGTTTCTCTTATCCACTACTGAACCCTCAGTTTATAATATAGTGATGGTACTTAGTAGCACACAGTAAATTATTGTTACATGAATGAACAAATTAGCCCCAATCACTCTTTCAAGTACTGATATGACCTAATATTCTTGCTTTAAAAATTATTTTCTGGAAATTGGACCTGGTAATTGGCCTTATAATCTTGGTTGCAACGTTTTCTCCAGGTCTACTTTCCCATTTTAGAAACCTTGAACTTTCTCACCCATCTCCTCCAGTGCAAATCCATAACCCACTAACTCCCAAAACTCTAAAAATAAAATAATTTCTTCCTACTTCCTCTTTCCCATGAAACTTTCATTGATCAGGCTTATTCCTAGATTTCCTCTTATGAGAGGATCTAGAAATGGATGGATGGATGGACAGATGAATGGATAAATCAATGATGAATTCATTTATAAATTGATAATGATGAATTTAAAAATACTTTCAAGGTTTATGACAGTTTTCACCAGTTGAGTACTTGTAAAACGTCTTTTGTTTTCTCTACAAAGCTTTCTCCAGTGAAAGAGAATTGCCATTATTCCGGGACCCTACTACTACTCTTACAAAAACCCATTTTGAGTTTGGAAAACATTGACTAATTAAGACAAAATATTTAAAGCTGCAACTGAAAGTCAAAACAAACATCAACTTTATTACTTAAAAAAATGAATCGGAGGATATGATATAGATGTATTACGTCAATAAGCTCTGTTCCAATTATCTACCGTAGCTGCCTAACAGCCACCCAAAAATTAATTACTTAGTAACAGTTATTTATTTCACTCATGAATATCCAACTTGGGCAGAGCTTAGTAGGGACAGCTTGTGTCTGCTTCATGTGGCATCAGCTGGGATGGCTCCACCAGGCAGGAGGATCCACGTTCAAGGAGGCTTACGCACATGATCAGCAGGTTCCTTGGTAGGCTAGTTCTGACTGCTGCTGAGCCTGGCTGAGGGTATCAGCTGGAAGCCTCGCGTCCTCTCCATGGGCTACTTGAGCTTCCTTGCAGCCTGGAGCAAGATGACAAGAGCAAACATTCCAAGAGAATAAGGAGGAACTGCATATCATTTTCATGCCCTAGTCTTGGAAGTAACAGTATTATCACTTTTGCCATACGCTATAGATCCAAATAGTCACATACTCTCTGCCTAGATTCAAGGTTAGGGAACAGAGACTACATGTATTTATTTATTATTCTTTTTCTTTTTCTTTTTTGCCCTCAGCCAGTGGAAGATGAGAAAGAGACTCCATTACTTGATGGAAGAATGATAAGGTTCTAAAGAGTGTGAGATGGGTGGTATTGCTGGAACCATCTTCAGAAAATAAAATATGCCACAGGCTTCCTAATACTGAGTCCCAGAATTAGAGGGACATACCCTTCTTGTCATAGGCAGCTCTGGTAAACCCACATTGATGCCAGCCCCTGTAAAACTTAGGGCATGGAGCAAGTGATGGGACAGAAAGGTTACACTGAACTGAATTCTAAAACCCAATCCGCACCAATTAAACACAAAGAATCATTGGCTAGAGTTTCTAAGAGAGAGAAGAATACTCTCTTACACATGATTTGATGGTGTGAAGATGTGAGGTTTATACTTATTTCAGATATTTTGTCAACATTAGAAGAAATAGCTAAAGAATAATGTCACCACACAGAGGAGTCAGAGACAAGAGATAATCCTAGTGGCATTATTCAATTGAATCAAATGTTTAAAGTTGGATAAAACATTGGACTTTTAATTTACATGAGCCAATACATTCCCTGTTATTAATGTTTGCAAGCCATTGTAAGTTGGTGTTTCATTCATTTACCACCTATCCTCCTATACTCTGCATGCCACCAGGGGAGTGTCTCTCATAATGAACAACACTATAGATGATAATGATATATACATCTTGGAAATTCTCTATCTGTTCCTTTATTGCCTCAGCAACATATGGTTTGGACCTGGGCAAATTCTCCCCAAGACTTCCAGTTGCCTCTGCTTTGGTGGGCTTCTCTACTCACTTACAGTGTCTCCTACCTCCAGCCCATTCCCCATCCCCACCATTCAGCAACCCCCTCACCAATACCCACACCTTCTCTGATCTGATCACTCACATCCTTTTATCAGTTCTCCCATTTCCCACTTCTTCAAGTACAGAGTTCTCAATCTTGTCCCCTAAGCCTCTTCTTTTACCTTTCCAGATTTAACTCCCATGAACTTGATAATCCATCCCAACTTTATGACTCAGTTCTCTGACAAGAATGCACCTTTTTTCCTCATTTCTCAATTTTGTTATTGCTGTTCCTTCTATGATATATGAAAGATGGCCACAGAGCCCTTGCTATTTCTTTCATCAAGAGGGGCAGTCTGTATATCTAGTACAAAGAAAGGACAAATATTTAAGGTGATGGACATCCTAAGTATACTGATTTGATCTTTACAAATTATATAAATGTATTAAATTACCACATGTAACCTCCCCAAAAAGAGTCTGAACCTTTTTTTTTAAACCTGGGTTGGTCTTGGGGACATGATTGATCAGCAGAATGCAGCTGAAGTGACACTCTGGGATTTCCAAGACTAGGTTACCAGAAGCCTTAAAGCTTCTTCCTGGGCTTCTTAGAATATATGTTCTCTTTGTTCTGGGTTTCTTGGAATGAATGATTTTTCTTGGAACACTTTCGAATCCCAGTCACTGGAATTCATTCTGTCAAAAAGTCCATGTCAGCCATGTAGAGTAGATACAAGATGAAATAAATGCTTGACCAGCCTTCAGCTGTGCTACCCATTGTGAAAAAGGCACCAGATGTGTGCGTGAAGCCACCTTGGAACCCTCAGATCAGTCCACCTGCAAGCTGAGTACCACTGAATTACCTTGCTTGATGTTCCTTGGAACACAAGAATAAAGCAGCCAACCTCTACCTAAATTCTACATGCACACAGTAGAGCATCTGTGGCCACTGTAGTTAAGGTGAAAAGGAAAAAGGAATGAATTATAGATCCATCTTAAAATGTTTACACACACAATAGAGATATCTTGAAATGGTTACTTTTTAAGTCACTGATTTTTAAAAATAATTTGAATTTAGCAATAGATAACTAGAACACCCTTTGTCAAAGTAGGGCTAGGTTCACTAGAAAAATCATAAGAAAATCTTACCTCTCTCTTCTACCTGAATTTAAAAGACAAGAATCTTTTGGATTGATTGATTTTGGAAAAGAATCTATCATTGCAGTTTGATGGTGCTAGACAGGTTGAAGGAATATTTCAAGCATATGATCCTTTTGTGTATCTTGCTATAGTTGAATGTGTAGAGTTGGCAAGATGTGGGCAAAAGAACATTATGCCAATGGTGGTAATATGAGGAAATGATGATATAATGTTAGAAGTCCAGGAGCAAGTATGAATGTTGCCTGAATAGAGAAACTGTCTGCCTTCAAATGACCCTGCATCTAAAAACCCATTTCTTAAAATGTAAAAGAAAATTAGCATTGCTGATTCTTCATGATAAACATTTTAAAATTATACTCTGCAATGAAGATTATTTCTATCTCTCCCCCACCCCATATTTTTTTTCTCTCACATTACTCCCTGATCCCTGCAAAAAAAAAAAAAAAAAAAGGGGGGGGGATTATTAAGTGTTCTAAGTTTTTCTGTTTAGCCAAATTCTGTCTGGTGTTTGTAATTTGCAACTGATCATAAAGTTTTACATACTAAAATAAAGAACAACTTTGTCATATTTGAAAGAGGACCAAGGTTATGTTATCCATTCATTTTAACATTAGACACAATCAGCCCAATGAAGAAGAGGAGGAAAAGGAGGAGAAGAAGAAAAGAAAAAGAGAGAGGAAGAGGAAGATGATCAAAGTGTAAATGTGGCCGGGCGCGGTGGCTCATGCCTATCATCTCAGCACTTTGGGAGTCCAAGGTGGGCAGATCACTTGTTTATAGACCTCCTATGGCATATACCTCTCCATATTTTTATAATTGCCATTTATACACGTTTTTAAGTTCCTAGAGTATTGTCCTTCAAGGCAAAAATCCTGGTATAATCTTCTTGATATTCTTAGGGCCTAATGTTACCAAAATGCCAGGGGTTTGGTCTTGGTCCTGTAGCTTGCTGCTTGAAGAGCTAGACCCCGACACAACAAGAGTTGCCAGGTAAGAAGGCTTTATCTGGGTGCTGCAGCAAAGGAGACAGGAGATGAGTCTCAAACCTGCCTGACTACAATTGGGGGTTTATATAGCAGAGAAGGACTGTAGCTACAAGCAGGAAGGAATTAGGGAGCGATAAGGAAGCAATCGTGATGAATGAGGGGTCTGAGATCTCGCTATCTGGATGTGGTGATCTGGTGAGTTTCAGTCCCTTGCCTGATGGTCAGTTTCCTGAGAAGAGAATTCAGATGGGGCAAATATAAGTTTCAAATTTTAAGACCAGGAGAGTCAATTTCTATATTTATTCAAAAAACCCATAAACATTATTTCTATGGAGCAATTGGGCTGATTTCACTAGCCCGGTGCTTGGATATCTTCAGCGCATTACTGAGTAAATAACTGCTCAGTAAATAACTGCTGAATTAAAGGGAGGTAGCGATGATGGCAGTGGTTGTAGAAGTGGTGCTTTTGGTGGGAATGCTACTGACGGTGGTGATGATGATACTGATGATAGAGGTGGTCCTACTAATGTTGGTGAGGTTGGTATTGTTGAGTCTTAACTAAGGGAAAGGAGCACTAAATTATCTAGGAGTAATATCATTTTGATAATGAAGGAAAATTTGGTGGTAAGCCTGATTGCCAGTCTATGCAACAGTTAGCAGGAGAAAATAGTGGGCTTTCTCTGATAGCTTTGGGATCTGATGAATAGACAGCAGAGGCTACTGGGAGCAATTTTATCAGCCTCTGGAGAGTCCTAGCTGACTCCCTAAATGCCTCTTTGCTCCAGGACTTCGTTTTTTGAAGGAATTGAGCAATGAATATGAAAGAAGACGGATAAATAGTCACACCCAGAGTAACTTCCCATCCCTCATTGTCTCATGCAAAGAAAAGACATTCTTTAGAAGGGATCCTTCCAAAGAAAACATCCTGAGCATCTAAGTATCCTGCTTGTGGATCCCCAGTAGCCAGCACGCTGACTCACTGATATTTGTGCAGCTCCCATGTGTCAGTGAATTATAATGAGAATATTCTGGGCAATCAAATTACTGGATCTGAAGGGGGTGGTGAAGTAGTGGTTGCCCACATAGGTCACTTTCTAGAAAGCAGGTTCCAAAAATGTCTTTCTGTGCACTGAGAATTGGATCTCACCATTCCAACAGAGAGAATATTTTCTGCCCATAACATACACAGACCGAAGGAATTAAAATGCAATGAGTTATTTGAAAGCTTATTGTACTTAAATCCACAAAAATTAGGTACTTTTCAACTTATTTATCCTGTGCTGTATTTAAACCACTTCCCTCCTGCCTTTGTTCTGTAAATAACCATTCCAAAATCTAAACTGCCTATCGAACAACAAAGCAATGATTCAGTTAATAATTATAAACCTTAACAATTCAGCATGCACCCACTTATAGACGAACTAGATATCACTTGCCTGAAATATTTGACAGTCATACAAGAAAGCAATGGGCTACTTGAACAACGCAGTCATGTTGGGAGCTGTTGGGGAAGGGGTAAGGGCGGGGAGGATTGTTTTTGAATGAAACTTCATCTACGTGGTTCCAATGGATTCTTTCCCACACAAGCTCAAGCCTACATCTCACAGAGCTATTAGGTCTGTTCACTTCCTTGTGCTCTGCTCCAAGAATTAGTGAGTCATGTTTTAAGCACAAATTCTTAACATAGGTGCTACCAGGGAACAAAGGAAAACAAAATGCCTCATTCTTTTATTCATCTTTTGAAAGGAAACTCATGGCGGAAACATTTGTATAACATTCCATTTATGTAACCTGAGAAATATCAGCTGAAGGAAAGAACAGTACAGCTGAGGAAGGGGACTGTGGTGCTTTCTTTCCACAAACCC